CTCACAAAGGAAATCACACGCAGGCTCCTCGGTATCCATCGAAACGAGCATCTGCCTAAGTGACTCCGCTGCCAAAATGGCGTCCTTAGTGTCACACTCGCGGGACTTTGGGCATTCCTCAGTGGTCCGGAACAGGTTCCGCTTCTTGCTCTTATTCACTACATGCCGGTACATTTCCTTCCAAACAGGAAAGGTGTGTACCTCCGGTTCTAATTCAAAACGAATTCTCTTCTCTTGCACAACACGGAAAATTGACTTTCCAGTCCAATCAAATTTCTGTTTCGCGTTTGGGTGTTTCTTCCAATTACCCTTGATTGTCCTACTCTTTCCCTTTGAGTCAGTGACTACCATGGTAAACTGGTCTTCCAACCTAGATGACTCAACTGGACAGGATTTACGTGTTGGGAGAAACGACCTGTGCCTAGGCTTCAAATGGTGCCTAATCAACTCATTGCCATCTTTGGAGAATTCCCAGTAGTCTTTACTCTTTTGGGTCCGAGTTGCGGTTACTGCTAAGCAAGACATTGCGAAACCTGTTTGAATACATGGACTGGCCTTTGGACTTTTGTCCTTCTTTTCCCGTTTGCTCTTTTTGTCCTTTTTGTCCTTCTTGGATTTCTTGTCCTTAGACCTTTTAGCTGCGGGCGAGGGACTCCTTCTGCGCGGGGCTGGTGTTGCAGTGTCTCCGTGTTTAAACGGGCATTTGTCACCCCTTTTGCAGTTACCCTTTGCAAAGAACCTGCATGGCTTGTCAGATTTCCTCCCTCTACTTGAGCTTCTTGATGAGTTCCTTGAACTGGAGCGGGAAGTGTGTCTTGACGAACTTCGAGATCGGCTTGACCTGAACGATGAACGGCTGCTCGGACTTGCGCTACGCGAACGAGACGACTCCCGACTAAGGGAGCGGGGACGGGCGCTAGAGTCGTGTGAGTACTTGCATTTGCTCCCGTACTTACACTTACCAGTTTTGGCATACTCATAGCATTGATTGCTTCCGTCACCCTTTGTGCTTCGTTTGCCATAACTTGGGCTTCGCGTGCGCTTGTCGTGCGGTGCCGGGTTTGCGAACTTTGCCGCGTGTGATTGTGATATCTTTTCGCGATTGGTCCTGAGCCTTTCCCTGTCAAGGTAACGTCGAACAGAATTGATAAGAAATTCATAGCTTCTGTCGTTACTTCCCTCCGGCGCTCGTTCATAAACATCAAGGTCAAATCTGAGCTTGCGGGACTTCCTAACCTCTCTATAAAACAGATCCTTGAGAGTTGCCGGGTCTGGGACATGACTCATTCCGGTCAGAACACTCTCCCATTTTCTTAGAAAGGATTTCAAGTCGTCGCTATCAAGCGAGATCTTGAGGAGGTCCTCAGTGCCATACAGTGCACCCGCTTCTTCACTGGTCTTGAAGTGGACTTCAAACATGAGCAACACCTGACGACCACGGACGATCCTACCTTGCTGTGCCTCAGATTCCTTATAATTAAGGATCTGCTGAGACAGTTCACCTTTGGCAACCTTAGTTAAAGCAGCAAGTAGTTTCGTGTCTAAGGTCCGAAACTTGCCTGGGTCAGCCAATTCGGAACAAAGCTTGGCTTTGTCTTCACGAACGGCGTACACCTCAAGCACCCATGCGAACGCAGCGTCTGGGTCATCGGACGCGGACCGTATCGCTTCGCGAACCGCGGCCCTCCAAGTGCGGTACCTGTCAGGACTTGGGAATTCAGGGAGATCTATCTTGTCAGCCTCCTTTGCCTTGGGCTTATCGGAGTCTTTGCTTTTAGCGCCCTTAAACCCTTCTAGCAAGGCCTTCTTGATGATTTCCCCCAAATCTTGGTCTTGTGGAGTTCTTACCTGAGAAGCCGGCCCTTCTTCTCTGCGATCATCCTTAGTCTTTGTTGCTTCCTGATTAAAGGAGCTTTTGTACAAAGGATCATCACTGAAGTTGTATTGTGTTGATTTCTTCATGTACTCCATCCACGGATCCGGTTGTTTGAATTGTTGCCTGTCTGTAGAGGCCGTTGCCTGTTCCGCTGCGGGCGCCCCTGTCCCTGAGAACATTGATGGGAATCCTGTGTTGCGCACGGACGCTGTTGCATCCATAGCTGTCTTTATAGGAGATCCACCTTTATCAAGGGGCTTACCGTCTAAGGTTGCTGGAACAGTGCCTTCCGTGCGTAGAGGTTCAAAAGATTGCGGTTGACCAATTGGGTGAGCATCTTGTCGAGCAGGAGGTGTGAATGGCTCAGGGTATTGCGGCCCTGGCTTAACGGGGCTAGAGGATTGCGCTTTGCGCTCCGCTTCCTTGCGTTCCTCTTCCCTGTCTGTCAAGGACTGTACGACACGCCTGAGCTCATCCATTTCACCCTTCAACATTGCATTGTCCTTGCGAAGCTCAACTATAGTTTGCTCTTGTGTTTCCCGATCAACTCTATGTTGCTTATTTGTAGCCTCCATTTCATTAACAAGGGTTTTGATCTTTGCCTGTGCAATTGCCAACGAACTGTCCAGTTGTTCTCGCTTGAAGTCAAGTTCTATAGCGATCCGGGATTCTTCAGCAGACGAATGTCTTGCCTGATCCTTTGCCTCTACGGCTGCCTTCAGCTTGGACTCCTGTTGCTCAACATACTGGCGATGTTCAGTTCTCATTCTGTCAACAAAAGCATTGCCTTCTTCTGCCAAGGCATTCTTTTCCTGTACAACCTTTTCATGAGCTGCTGTTGCCTGAACTAGCCGCTGTTGAAAATGTTCCCTTTGCTCCTCCAATGTACCTTGCAACCGTTTGATTGCAACATTGTCGTGCTGTTGAACCATTTGCTGAACACTTTGTTCTTGCTGTTGGGCCCTTTGTTGAACATTCAACATGGCCTGCTCTGCGGCAGCCTTTGTTGCCGCTATAGATTCGGAAGCTTCTCTTTCGTAAATACTCCTGAAGCGCAATGCCTCGATTTCAGCTTCCCTCCTGGCTTGTTCGCTGAGCAAAAACTCATGTTGTTGTAACTCCCGTCGTAGTTCTTCGTCGTTTGGCGTTGCATTCAGGTTGACGACGTTGAGCCGAGTCATTGCCAACAAGTTGTTTACTGTTGGCGCACCAGCTACGGTGGCTGACGGCATACCTGCTAGGGTAGCTTGTGTCGCCTCTTGAAGAGTAACACTACCACCACTATTTAGCATCTCTTGGTACACCTCCGAAGCAACCCTTGGATGCATTGCAGCCACTTGTGCAACTGCCTGTTCATGCCGTTGAACTGCATCCAAACTATTGGGCACACTCGGAACTATGTCAAAGCCACTTCCATAGGCATTCGGTGGGACGTCGTCATCCATTGGGTCCATAGCTCTAATCTAGCTAGCCTACGGCTGATAACCTGTATTTTACAGGATCAGCTCTAATAGTACTAACTACCTAGCTAACCCTGCTAGCCCGGTAAGCGCTACCTTTTGCTCTACCTTGAGCCAACGCTACGGGGTCCATGGGGATGAGGTGAATTTCAACACCATCGTCACATGGGTCCAGGGTCAACCCTGCCAAGTGATCTAAAACATGATTGACTGGGAGCATCGGGCCCTTACCATGACGCGAAGCGAGGTCATCTCCATCCTAATCTCAACAAGTTGGCCCATTTGCAGGAAATACTTTGAAGCCCCGCTAGTAGGCTGGTGGCCATCGCTAGTAAAACAGGCCATCGCCAATAAGTTAAAGACCATTGCTAGAAGGTTGGAGGCCATAATTAGGTTGGAGGCCGTTCTCGGGGCTTTTGACAGACCTGAAAGCCACCAGTTGCAGCCGGCCCTCGCCCCCTCGTCCCCCTCGTCCTTGGGTGGCCTGGATGGGAGCTCCAAGTCACAGTTCGAGGGTTTGCTCCACATTGACTTCCCGTGGACCTGTGACAGGTGAGGATGATCGATCATGAATGGCGTGGACTACTTAAAGCCTTGCAGCCAAAGATTATAAATCCTGATGCCTGTTGCTGTTTGACATTTGCATCAAAAATCACATCCCGCTTGCAGAACCCAGTCTCACTGGGCCTCTGGTCACCCCAAATGGCAGCATTGCCTTTCATCCACTGATTCTCTGGCACAAGTCCGACATTGAAATCAAGAAAAGGTCTAGCCTCTAAAGCAACCAGCCAGGTTCGTGCAGTTATGCTGGCCTTGTCCATGTAGTAGTATCTCTTCATCTCTCTGCTCCATGCAATTTCCCATTGGGCGGCCATCCTCGTGCGGCGCCTTGTGGCGCCGTGCGGCCTCGCGCGTGGTAGGAAGGGAGATGGAGACAGTCGATGTTGGAGCTCTGTGCTTTCACAAACATTCGCAAAACCCCTAACCTGGAAAACAAGAACTGAAAGATCCAAAGCAGCAAGATAGCAAAGCAGCACCCCTTGATGAAGGCCTTTCAACATCCTGGAACTGAATAATCTCAGGGCTGAGTTTCTGAATCAACTTCTATATCTATTTTCTTGAATGAGGATTCCCACTTTGCTCTGTGGATTCATCCAGAGAACGGGCAGCGACTCATGGAAACTCGACCTTCCAGAAGCCGCCTCCCTCGGAAATGAACAGGGCCGACCAATCTTGAGCCAGGCAAGCTATTGCCAAAAGACAGAATTGATAGAGTGCCTCGCATGTTGTTGTTGGTGCTGTTGTTGCATTCTGCTCAGCTGGGACTGTGGAGCTTTGGTAGGCTTGTTCGGACTTACACATTATATATATATATATGTCATCATCCTCACTGACGGCAATTAGAAGGCTCGCTGGATCCAAACAACCATTCTCTTTGGGGGGGGCAATCATTCAAGCATTTGGAGACCATCACGACCTCAACCAAGTGGCACGTGACGTCCTTCAAGATGTTTTCAGCTGAGAGTCCGTGCGAAACTCCCAGGAACAGTGGGGCGGAGCCATTCTTCCAGGAGAGAAGGAGGCAATTCCTTCGCAAGGATTCCCTCCCCTACTCTACCCCGACTCCTTTGATTTTGCCCATCAACTCCACCGGGAGCCCAGACACCACAGGGCATCGGCCTGGCGCTGGCGATTACGCCTTGTTTTGGACCTTGGAGGAAGAACACCACAATACAGTCTTCCCTACTACGCGGTGCCATGTTAGGGCAGCCAGGCAGCCATGCTACAGTCTACAGTGTAGAGTCTACAGCATGTAAAAACTGTTAACCGTTAACATTTGCTCAAGGTGAGGCAGTCAATATGACCGCAACTGCCTTTCCATTGAAGGCGTAGGTCATGCTAGTAGGGTTGATTGGACACTTTGTTGTAAGTAAAGAACATCATCATTGAGTTGGGTTTATTGGTCCAGTCTGGTCCTGTGCCGCCCTGCTGTCCTCGCCTTCACCTCGCCAAGGAAAGTACAGGCGATTGCCGAAAACAGCCTCCAGCGGCAGCGAAGTCACAGCATGTTCCCCAGTGGTTGCTTTTTGTGCAGGACTTGCGCGCTGCATGCAACGCTGCAACACCTGCCCACGGGTGACCAGAACTAAGCCATGGAATACTTGTGGAATACTGTTCCTGTTCAGGTCCACAGTCACTAGATTGCCCCCACGCTCGTGTGAGCAAATGAGGCTCAGTTGAGTGACGATAGAAACCCATAGGCAGGTCATAGACACATGAACCATATCTTGTATCGGCACCAGCACAGGTGCAATTCTAGGTGAGCATGCTTGTAGCGGAACTTCCGAAAATAATCCTCATGCTGCCAAACCAAACGAGCTGCAGCAAATCACCGCGACATCAACAACCCGAACTGATTCGCCACTCACCTTGCCCATGTGTGTGGAGAGCTGTTGATGCCAGATCATGGCCCAACCGCACCAAGCGGCGCTCTCAGTTTCATGGAAGAAGGCCAGCTCGCGGGCCACAGGGGCTTCCAAACCTCGGCCGGCTCCGAGATCTCCCGAGTCTCAAATGGACCCAGTGCAGTATGGAAGCGACTTCATTGCTTTCCGGCTGCTTCCCACTTCCAGGTTCTTTCGTATATATCTATATTTACAATATCTATCTATTTATTTATCTATCTATCTATCTACCTACCTCTCCTGTATACAGATACATCATACATCTGTACATACATCTATGCACCCCGAATGATCAAAGTGTGTCTCAACTCAGATCCATCTAGCTGTTCTACTTGACCATTTTTGCCGATGATTTTCAGAAGTTCTGGGTCACGATGAATAGCCAATCAAGCAGCACTATCACTATCAGATTCGAGTTTGCCGGGCCGACATGATCCTCTCCCCTTCCCTTCACAGTCACGAGCGCCTTTGTTGGTCACGGCCATGACCAGCTGAGCTTCCTCCATCCAACTCTGCAGAGTTTCGATGGTGGCCTGTGGGTGAATGTCCGGCTGACGGGCGCAAAAGTGGTGCATTCTTATCATTATCTCAAAAAAGGTGCCCTAAACTTTGTTTCTGAAAGTGCTAGGTGCACGTGATCAAAGTAGATGCATCAGGCTACTTCACCTAGCTCCACCCCTCAGCAACGCTCCGCTAGGTGCCATGTCGCAAGGCCACCTCAACCGACTTCGCATGCTCCACTGGCTGGCCACGCGAGGCACTCAAACCTTTGTGTTTCGACCTGCGGCCGTGCTGTTCAGTTGCGATCCGTTTTCCGCCCCGTTCTCGGACGGATGCCTCAGCCATGCTCATAAGGCACAGTCGAATCGAAAACCACCATGAAAAACTTGTTCATTGTGCTGTGCTCTATCATGGTGGAAGTTTTCCGCTAATTCCTCCTGCTCAGTGCCCCCTGCTGCATAGGACTCCCTCAAAGGCAACGAATGGACATCAATTTGGACCAAAACCTGAAGAATCAAAAAACATGACCAGCAGCCAGCAGCCTAGGATTTGGCCACCAAGCACCAACTCCGATTGGCCCACCGCCGACCTCGAGCTCATGCTCTGGCACCACCCGATGGCCAGAACCTTGCAAGAAAAGGGTCAGGAGCTGGTCCAAACTGCATGGTCTTGAGTGCAACTGGTGCCTGCCTCACAGGTTGCAGTATCGGCATGATCTGGGTAGAGGTGCCATTTGGGGCTAGTTTCAACAACCCACACCTACGGCCACACGAGGACATGACCGAAAGCCCAGCAACGACACTGGTGCGCGAACATCCCCTGCGGCAAGAGAGGTTCGAGTGGCGATTATTGGTCAACACCAGGCACACACAAATGAACATCAATATACATCAATATTCACAATATACATCAATATGCTGCATTCTATGAAGGAAGGGTGCCACGGATTCATTTTCTTTGAATGTGATGCGTGGCAATCCAAGTGCGGATGCAAAAGTAAGTGGTGGGCTCTTGTCCTGTGTCTTCAGGCGCCAATGAGGTCTCATGGTCCATCTCCATGGATTGAAAAGGTACGAATTCGGAGGCGTGGCCTCATTGACTGTGCCATCCCACCGAGCTCTGTCCCCAAGAACCATGGTGTCCAGAACCCTTCAGGCATGCTTGATTATTCAGGCACCGGTTTCAAAGCAAGTTGGATGCAACATCGAATCTAAGCTCCAAATGTCTCGATATTAAGAGGGCACCCTTCAAATCACAAGTGAAATCAGTGGACACAACAAACTAGGACTGGCTCCCCATACCACGGTCAAGTGCCCTTGCGTACCTGGCTAAAGCACTGGCACAGGAAAGGTGCTGAGTCTGCTGATCAGCGGTCCAGCAAGGCCTAACCTGGGCTTGGCGGTGCGAAATGCCCGCATCCTCAGGACACATAGACCCAAACTGCAACTGGCCAAAATCATGCTGCGTCAAAGGGTAGAGGATAGTAGAACCCAAGTTCCTGCCACAACAGCTGGGCATGCGGCATTAAGTAAAGTGCTCGTGAGAAAGTTAGAGAAAAGCCAAAAATCCCGGTTTGCCTTTTCGTCCTTCAAAGGCTTAGGCTGTGATCGGTGAGAGAGCGGCTGGCAAAGCGGCCACCCCACACCGCGGGAGAGTCGAGCTCCCATGGCTGTGCATCTACGTCGACCCGTTGAAGGTGCCCGGAGCGGTCAACAAACTGGATGCCAGGAACAAGTGCATAGTTACTAGTAGCTAGAAGCTACTAGTAACTAGTATTATAGAACTGGCGAAGGGGTGGGAGCCAGAAGAAGCCCTTCTCAAGCTCTGTACACAATTACCGGCCGCAGTAACATCCTCATATTGGGTCTTGAACTTCACCATTAGTCACTACCCCCATCATGTCAAAGACGGGAACCTTGAATGATGAGCTTCGGCACCCTGGCGGAGATCCAAGCCATTCATTGAGGTGCAGAACCGAGAGATCTGCCATGTCACCCAAAACATCTCCAGTTGGCAGCCCGTATCAGCCCGTGACTTTGCTTGACCATGCTGTTGTGTCTTTCCTTTGTGAGCCAACTCCAGGCAGCGAAGGTCCTGTTCCCCACACCTTCCCCTGTTTCTCAATTGCCCTGGCCTTGGATCTTTTTCATGGATTCCCCCCAAACGTCGCTCTCAAAGCCAATGAAAAATGCTCGAGTGCTGGCCCAAAGAATTGAAAGCTCCCAACTTCATCATGTCGACACTTGCTTCGCCACATGCATGCCACATCCTGCTCTCCGAACCGGCCACTGTGGGTGCTCTGAAGCGCCTTTTTTCGCGGGAGGCTTTCGGACTCACTGCGAGGTTTTTTGCCTTTTCAATCCTTTTCATGCGCACGGCTGCCTCAATCAACTTTCTTGTTGCTTGGGGCCTGGCACGCGGAGCCACTCCCACACTCCACACTTTGGCACTGTTTCCGCCAAGGTTTTAGGAACTTGCATGCCACCCACACCCTTCAACCACGCGGCTGTGATGCAAACACTTCCCATAGCTCACTTGGTCTTAAGTGTCTTCTCTCGGCCTTTTGTCTGGAGGACGAGCCGTACTATTTTGCCATCGAACTCCAACGAGCCTCTTTGGACAACTCCAAAAGCTTCTCCACTGGTTTCACGCTGGCGAGGCGAACCTGGCAACGCCAATGAAGTGGAGGCTTCTGTTCTCAGCATCAAGCTCCAAAGATTGAGCTTATTGATGGTTTGTCATGCAACAACTTGAATGCAAGACCCATGAATGAATGTGCATTGTGCCCTTAAGCCCGGAATCCGCCTACATGCCGGGAACCGATGAGAGAGGCATGGAAACTGGCGTTGTGTGACAACCCAAACCCTTGATTCAAAAGAACACCTAGAAAGGCCGCCCACACAGCCGGTACATGACAAAATATCAACCCGAGCCGAGGCACATAGTTCACCGAAGCCATGACGTTCATCACTGCCAAGGAAAGCAACACAAGGTCCCAGCCTGCAACGCAGCTCTTTGGATGTTCTGCATGCTGCATGGTGCTGATCTGGAACTCGAGACAATTCGCTGAAATTCATCCGTAGCAGAAAGGCCGCCATGCTCCCACTGAGGACCCCGCTGTGGAAATGCTGTAGCAGGAGGGCGACCAGTTGTGGCCCCGCCTCGGAAGAGGTGGTGTGGCACAGTTGATGGCCCTTGCAATATGCCTTGTGCAAAAGGGCTCCACTTCACCTATTATGCTTGAACCGGTGAACCGGAACCCCAATACAACACAACCAAACAAGCAGAACAATTTTAACTTCGTCGTGACGGCCGGACGGGCAGCGGCTGCGGCCTTTTGTCACGACTTGAGCCAAATAGTTACGAATGAACTATGTCACCAAAAATGAAAGGGGTCACTGTGCATGTCAACTTCCAAGTCCCCCCTCATAGTGGAACGAGTTCACGGTACATTCAGTATTCCAGGTCACGAGACAGTTTGTTCATTGGCAAACCACCTGTGACCCAACAATTTAAATTCGGCGCGAGCGAACATGGGTAGAGGCGCTAATGCAGCCGAACTACCTGGGCTTGGTTCCTGCAGGCTAGGCACTACAGGCTTTGCAACTAGCATCTTTTGCAGGGGGGGTCCCAGCGCTAGCAGACGCCCGACGATCGAGGTCCTAGACCTAGCCTAGGACCCCCGCTCTCCTAGGCCATAGGCTAGCACCAGGACCCCCCCTATCCTAGGCGTATTGTAGCCCAGCCTTGACTCCCCGCCTAGGGGGTAGAAGGCTTCTGTGTGTGGCCCTTGATCAAGTTCTCTTCACTGGTCTTGTACTGGAACTTTGAACAATCCTTGATTCTTGATGTAACATGGCAACTGATTTGGCAACCAAGGAAAACCCATCCCCGAGCTGACGCCAAGACCCAATGGACAAGACTCCAAGACAAAATGATTGGCTTTTTTGAAAACTCCCTCTTTGTCTTTCAAGCCAATGGCATCACTCGAGTCGCGATTGCCTCCAACTCGCGACCACGGGCGAAGAGCGACTCCAGGCGGCGGGTGGTAATACTTGAGGATGTCGTAGGGCCGTTCACCGGCAGGCGTATCAACGATGCTCGAAGTTTCCCTCGGAGCTGCCTTTGACTTTGGCGTCAAACCTGAGGAGCTAGACGAAGCAGTGCCTGACGGGTTCCAATAACCTCCAGACGGACTCCAAAGCCTGGAACGGGGCACAAGATGCTCTGCCTGCAACCAGGTAACGAGGTCAAGCCAATCGCCTCTGTATGCGCAACAACCTCAATGCCCTCGTCCTCAGTGTCCTCACCTTCGGACGCACTCGGCTCCCAAAAACGAGAAGTACCGAGTGGCCTCTGCTGTCCACCAGTGTGGATGACCGGAACGGTCGGCGGGTCGCTTCCCTCCGCGACCCTGCTGAGGAGGCGGCGAGTGCGATGGCGATCGAGGCCGACGAGGCGGTGACCGCGAAGGAGACCGAGGTCTGTGTGACATGCACGGGTTTTCTGTCCCGCAACCACTCTAAGTGAAGAAGGTTGTTGTGTTGCCCCAAAAACAAATCAATGAATGACAAGCCGATACGGCTGATAACCACTTGAGCCGATGAACCGGAACCCCAACACAACACAACCAAACAAGAAGAACAAAGTTAACTTCGTCGTGACGGCCGAACGGGCAACGGCTGCGGCCTTTTGTCACGACTTGAGCCAAATAGTAACGAATGAACTATGTCACCAAAAATGAAAGGGGTCACTGTACATGTCAACTTCCAAGTATTATATAGGACACCCAACACACACACACACACACCAAAAAAAGAAACATAATGCAGCATGCAGGAGCTGCCCTAGTCCAAGGAAAGCAAAAACATGCTACGCAGACCAGACTTGTTGGGCCCTGAGAGAAAGGCCCTGCAAACCCCTGCCCACTCTTGAGGAAGTCCTCTGCACACCTGAACCCTCGTCACTCAATTTGCATGAAGTTGCTCTGTGGACATCTTCTATTTCCACTCATGGATGGGGCACCTTATGAGGGGAAGCGACTCAGATTCCATGCTGGGCGTGGTGAAAATCAAGCCGGATGTGTTGTTGATTTCATCCAGGCAGCCAGTGAACACGGTTGGATTCAATCTGAAACAACCACCGTGGAGCAACTACTACAGGTCTGCTCGCTCAAGGCCAGTCGCTCCTAGGACTTAAGTGTTGAAATCCAAGAAGTCGACATTCTACGGTGAGGGTATGGTCTGGAATTTGGTTTGCCCAGCAATGACCCAAACTGGACACGTTCACTCCCCGGTCCAAGACCCCCGCCCAGGATGCCAGTGTCCCCAGTGTGTTTCCATAGCCACTGACCACCTGGGCAACTGGGTCAGAAGGCTAGCCATTCTCCACATATCATGAGTTGTCAAATAAAGAACAAATGTAGATAGGTTGCAGATAGACACTACTATCCCATATGGATGCCGGGGCCTGTACGATTCTCAATCTACCCACGGCCCCTATGCCCTATGCACCACCTCATGCAGGCTGTCACAGCCCAAAAGATCAGCTTCTGAGCAGCTTGAACCCTGAACACGTGATTTAATTGTCCTTGTGGCAAGCCATGAACTTCTGAACTCCCATAAGTGAGAGGATGGTTGAAATCCAATTGAAGCGTTCACTCTGGGAATCCCGTCTCCAACGTATCTCTCAGTGATCTCCAAGTAATTGGCCTGGCCGTGGTGCGTCGCTGGACCTACAGGCAATGTATCCACAAAACATCATGGCTTTAACTGTGAACTTTCCCCAACCGTACTCTGCCACTGGCTCAAGCCAATCAAGGTCGAAAATGTCTAAGGCACATCTCACTTGCAATGAACTCTCTGCCAAACTAGGGTTCCACAGTTCCACGGTGGCTTTCTGGATCACTTGTCCAACGAAAGGCCACATTTCTCCACACGAGCGCGATCTTGAAGCACTGCCTCTCCAAAAAAATGGTGGTGTACCCGATCGCCCTAGCTAGACTGCAACTATGGCTCCAAACGCTAGGAATCCAAAAAAAAAACTGCGCTGGCCTTGAAGCCATTGGGTGTCAGCCCAAAGGATGCGTTTGCTAAGCTGAAGAGCGCCGTGGAAACCCACCTGCTAGGACCGACTGAAACAAACAGAGCATGGGGCAAGGAAGTCAATTCCAAAATAGAACAGAAATCGGAAACACAACCTGAAGAGCTTCATGAGAGGGTTCATCTAACACATCAGCCCAATGAGAATGGTTTGCCGTGCAAATTCTTGTGTCACCGCCTGGTCCACAAATTCTAGCACCACTTCACTACACCACTCACTTACAGATTCCAAGTGAATCCCGGCCAGGCAGGTCCACTCTTTCGTTTAGGGCGGCACGGGCTGTAGTCTCGCAACACGTGGACCTTACACCGGTATGGTGGTCACCAGGAAAATCAGCCATTGGCGGTCAGGCGACAACACTCCGACAGGGTTGACAAGGGGACATGGAGATGGGCTTTCCGATGGCAGGAACATTTCATTTGCAAACTCCTTGCGAAGCGCAGGGTTTCGGACAGGCACGCCCAGAGCCAGTCTTGGTCTTGGTTTATATCCGGTCACCCCTTTAGCCCAATTTAGTCACACAACTCTTCGATGACAACACCGTGGCGATGACAATGGGATGAAAACGATGACGATGTTGTGAAACATGAATGAAAATGAGGCATGCGCGCAGGGAACCACAAAAACACCGTGTGCAGCAGCATGTTTGCTACGTGAACATATGTAAACACAGGAGGCCACTGGGGAGAACGCGTTGCGCGCCTTTTATACAAGAACGGATGGCCGCGACCAATGGAGAATTACGAGGATGCCTGTGGTCGCACAAATCATATTACAATAGGTCATTGTAGATCGGTTCAATCGACTTTGGCCCTCTAAAACAGCGGAGCCCCCAAACCGTCCAATCTCAACCACCGGCCCTAGGCTTGGCCAAAGCGGCAGGTGCCAACGCTGCCGCTGCTAAGAGGAAGCCCGAGGCAGTGAAGAGGCGGCGGGTGGTGAGCAGATCCCAACCCAATCTGCAGAGGACTCGACCGGAAGGGATATCTGTTGCTAGGCGTGGTGTTGGCCGGTCGAAGAGGTAGGCGTTTCAGGATGACCCTGCCTATCCCTGCCTTCAAAGAGAGGTATGGCTTCAAACTGTTAAAACTAAGGAGTTTTCACAACATCACAATAGCAGGGTGCAGGTTAAAAGTGGTGAAGCCACCTTGCAAAAGAGAGTCAGGAACAATGCCCAACAAAATTTTGTTGCGCTCGCTTTTGTTGAAAGGTATCTGGCTTCCGCCAGTGAGGTGCTTTCTCGGCCTGGACAGTCTGTGAAGCTATAAATACCTTTGAAGTTCCCTCTTGCTTTCTGCCTGTTTCTGCAACCTCTGATCGCCGTATCGATGCAACGCACCAGGCACCAGTTTCACTGGATCCCTCAAACATCCTCAGACAACACAAAGTTTACCGCCTCCCCTCTCCCAAGGCGCGGCAGACCTGCCCACCGCTTTCACCAGCAAGGGGCTCCTTGTTGGCCGAGTCTTCACAGCGCTGGACTTCCAAGGGGTCATGCCAACCAAGATTGGAATGGTTTGGACAGCTTTGAACCCCCAACGTCCACAGCATTCAGTTTGGCTTCGGCGTGGGTGCCCACTAACTACGAGTGAAGAGTTGGCAACACGTTGCAGAACATCTTGGTTGCGGCGAGGGTGACCCCCTGGTGCGTTGTGGAGTTGTGGGCACATTGTGGAACACGAGTCATGAGCTTACCCCGCAACACCATCAGGTGTAAAAAGTCCAAGATAGGACATGCCGTGGAAGCGGGAGCCTGTATGTGGGAAGCAAGCAGCAGGCTTCGGGGCCCACGGTCGACCTGACCGGAAATCCAAAGCCGAGGGACGTGCAGGTGGCGATTAAGCTCATGATGTAGGGAGCCATCAGGTGGTATTTGGCCTGCGCAGCAACTCGGTGCTATGCACAAAGGACATACATCAGGACTTGTCACAAACACGACGCTTCAGGCCAGGGCCTCATTAGGGCTTAGGCGCAAGACGTCATTGTAGTAGGTTGGACCTTCTCAGGTGCTGCAGAAGCCACAAAACGATGAAAGCTGCGCGAATTCAGATCCACGTCGCCCTGGTTTGCAAACTTCAAGGACCCGGAAGTTGATTGCAAGAAACAATCATCCAACCCGCCCTCCGTCCATCTCCGTCCCTCGGGGCAGGAATTTCATCACGCCAAATGGTCTTCCCAAATCACCTCAACCCTGGCTAATTGGGCATCTTCAGCTTGGGTCAGCGCTCCAGTTTGTGAGATAGTACCTCTCAAGCTTCCAAGAAAGGGTCATCTTGAGAGGCTTGCGATACACAAAGAGGCGCACACGCCATAGTTGAAAGCGATATGGGCCTGAAAGGCACAAAAAGCATAAAAGGCCAAGTGTCGAACACCCTTGCAACGGAGATGTTGATGCTCCAAATCTACACCTCTAGGATCCTCTAGATCTGTCTTCATGGGTCGCCTGTATTTCAGCTTGCCGGGCCTGCCGGACATCCATCTTAAAATCCTAGCAATAACTTGTACTTCCTGATCTTGTTAACGCTTGGCCGGTGGGTGACCTTGCACAGTACTTCTCTGATCTTCTCTGAAGGGTTGGGCTATCACGAGTCGCACTGACGCACCGCACAACCTTTGCTTGACACGCATGCGATGCGGAGGACAAACGTTTGACATTGATGGCTGACATCCTTAGGATATCTCAGCACTGGCAAAATGGTCCCCAGTGCAGCCGGGAACTGATACCCAATCATGCCTACTGTATCGAAGCTCCAATCAGCTGAGAAAAACAGACTCTACAAAATCAGCAGAGCCTGCGGGGGCACGACACCTTTACAAAGCCAGACCTGCCAGGGCCAGAAACCCGCTCAGGTACCAGCCTCGCTCTGCTGCACTCAAGCCGACCTCCCCGGATCCAGTGCAAGTGGCCAGCCGCCGTTCATCCCCAAGTGGGATTTGGGTCCCAGCCTTCTGCACCGCACCTGAAATGGCCGAGTCCAAAGCCTTCTGCAAGTTCTTCTCCACCAGCTTCTCGAGCTCCGTTCGAAGCCTCGTCTTCAGCAGCTCGTTGGCGAGGTCCTCAAGAAGCGAGCTAACCAGCTGCCAAAGGGTTTCAGCCAAACATCTGACCTGGGAGGTCTTTACAACCCTGACACGCTATTTAGGTGACGTGCCAAAATGTACCAAATTCCCACGAGTGAAAGCAAAAGGGAATCCTGTCCTTCAGCACCTCCTCACCAACCATGTTCGAGATCTCGAACTTGGGCATCTGCAGGTGGTGAATCTTGATCTTCACCTCCTCCGCTCCTCCAGTGAGTGCCTGGTCAGGTTGTGTGAATATCTTCTGAAAAACAGCCTGAGCCCAAGCCACAACTTTGGAGATGGAGATGGTGAGGTCAATTTCGATGTCCACCTTCCACTCCAGGCGCTCGCAAAGCAATCGGTTCGCCACAAAGTCGCCCTTCTGACCGTTCTTGATGAACTTGGCGGAGGCCTTCACCCTCAACGTGGCTGGGCAGGTTTCCAAGCCCACCTGGTGGCTTGGGCTGGCCACAAACAGAATGTTTGACAAATGGAAAATATCCACACACACACACACTGTCACTATGCGGTCAGCATTCTGCTAGGTATTTAAGATGTAGCATGTTGTGGAAAAACGCCACCTGGAACTTCAAGGCCGTGTTCTCATAGCTGCTCTCATCGACGTACTGCCCATCCAGACTGAAGTCTGAAAGCTGAACAGTGGAGAGTCCTCTGAGGCTGTCTAGCTTCACGTCCTTCAAAAAGTAGAAGCAAGCTCCTGTAGGATCGTCCACGCTAAGGTCGTCAACCAACTTGATATCTCTCAAGGGGTCGTTCTGCTGAAGAGTTGTCCTCAACAACTCATTCAAACCCTCGGCATTCAAAATGGGCATGACTTCGTACTCAAGAGGCTGCCCTGAAGCTGCAACCTGCTTAGCGAGCTTGAAGACTCGGCACAGGTTCACCTGATCAGCCGTCTTCATCATTCTCACGGCATTCGCAAAAACGATGAACTCAGACGCTACAAGGTTGATGCTATCCCATGCCTTCTGCTTGTCGTCCTCAGTCGGAGTGGTTAGTGTCATGGTCTGACTGTCCACCAGCAACAACTCCATCAATTCTTTCATCAACTGTGCTGCAATGCGATGCCAATTGGCATGAGTCTGCCGCCAGCAGGCTGGAATGTCTACAACCTGCTTTTTCAAATATGGGTCTAGATAGCCGGCTGGACCCACCAAAGTTTCCTGCCAATACATGCCTTCCACCAAGGATTCCAATACAGTCACCAACATTTCCGTACTCTTTGCAATGTCTTTGGGGAACCGCCACTCTACCGCGAAGAGGGCCTTTTGCCAATCAGAGCCCGAGGTGCAAAACTGTTGCCGGGCCGCTTCAGACTCGCCCTCTGCCATCAGAGATCCCACGAGCTGGTCACAAACCGAAGTGTAAAGAAGCGGAGCCGCAGATCCAAAGAGATGGTCATTCAAGATGAAACGGATGGCCGTCAAAACGAGACCGCACGAAGCCACTTTGTAATTCGGTGCAAGGACCTCCCACATGTCGGTAATGCGATGCCAGTGTTTTGGATCTCCCATGAGGATTTCTTGATAACCTTGCACGAGTGTTCGGCTGTCAGGATATCTGCAATCGCTGTAGACGGCACAAAGGCTCTCATGGGTGATGAGCCCCAGGACCGGTGCCAGATTTGGGTCTTGAGGGTCCACTGCCAAGGTTTTGACAGTGGCTTGGAAGAGCAGAAAGAAGAGCACATCCATGGCGTAATTGTCCATGGCCCTGGTGTTGAAAGGCATGTCCCTCGAAGGATCCTGGAACAATCTGGAACAGATTGCTTCATTCACATTGCATCGGGATAGGGGGGCATTGAGTAGAATGGTATACTGTAGGTGAACGTGAAAAAAAAGGTTCATGAAGAACACAACAACTCCGATCAGGAATCAGCAAACTTGCAGGACACAAGAACAAGAAATGAGAGGTTGAGCAGGGAGTCAAAACTAAACACACAAGGAAACAAGACGTGCTAAGCAAACCAGCTGGGATCGAGATCCCTCTCACCCGTCTCTTCATGATAATCGCCTGTCGAAGGATTCCCGTGCATCGCGAAGGAGCTGAAGGCCATCAGGGCACCCGCAGCGATGACCTCCGACTTCCAAGGCCAAGCACCCTGGAAGTCGGTGACCTGAGAAATTGATGGAGCACAGAAACTGTGCAAAGGTTTTTTGTTTTGTCTCTATACACTCGTTCGGATTTTGTAGGTGTGCATTAAAAAGGGGTGTGTGTGTGTGTGCAGCTCTATATATACATACGTATATATATATAATTATGTATACATATTTCGGGCCAGGAAAGAGATGGAAAGAGCAAAATTGATCTATAGATGTTCGAGCAATGGAACGAAAAGAGAACAATTCCTAAGCACACTGCCATCGCCACGGATGCCGCCTGACAAGCGTAGAGGGAAACTTCGAAGTAGGCAGCATTGGACATGGCATTGCAGGGCTGCTGAATCCAGGATGATGGAGGCATGCTGCTCATAGGTGCTGAAGCCTGTGGGAAGGTGGACAAAATGGTCTTGTTATCTGGCAGCGGATCCCACTCGATCCAAAGCTGCTTCCACCACATGCTCTTGTCCACTTGTTGGCCGAATCTCTCAAACAAGAGCTGATTGGCCTCCCAAAGGTCACTGGCCCCGATCCATTCATCAGTCACGCTCCGCAAGCATGTGTCCAAACCGGCCAGGGTAGACCAAGTGCGGGCATCATAGGTGTCATAGGTGAAGTACTTGTAGTAAGGTTTGGAGGCGAAGTCCCGTTCCAAATCCGTGGGTTCCTGGTTGATCCCTGGGCAACTGTTCAGCTCCTCTACTCCTGGCAGCTCCTGAGCTACGGACTGCAAATCAAGCTTGGCAGCCTCTGAGATGCGCCATGCAGCCTCAAGTGGCGCCGCAACACTGGCCTCATGGAAGCATGCAAGCGCTAGAACTACCAACTTTCCAACCATAGTGCGGGGCTCGTGCACCAGCAGATTTGAGCCAACTTCCGACGGGATTGGCGGGCTTCTCTCCTTTAGACAACACCCAGACCAATAAAACGGCCATGAGTCCGTAAGGTCCAAGGCTTCTGTCTTGAATCATGCCAAATGATTGCTCGGGCGACAGCCCTCAAATGAACTAGGCGCCCTCCAAACAGACTCTGCTGTAATCTGAGGTCTGCGGCGAAGAAGATCGCCCAGAGACTCGGGTGGATCGCCACAGCCCAGGGCATGCCCAAGGGCCCAGATCCTGTTCACCGCGGATGGGTGACCGGCAAAGCTACCCAAACCAAGTTCTTGGAGGTGGGGCAGGCCTTCCATAGATCACAAGTCTTCATGGTGCTCAATTCTCAAGCCCCTCAACTTGGCTTCTAGGTGACAAGAGTCTTTGCTTAGATAAACATGGACACCTAGGAGGTACAGAATCTGACTCACCCAACCTTGCGTGCCTTCTACGCATGCTTTTCACAGTGTTTCCACCAAGGGTTTCACCAAGCACATCACACTGCATGGCGTAAGCCTTCATCTTTGGCACCTCAGTTAGTCAGGTGGCAACCATGGAAGTAGAAACTTTATGAACATCAACTTGCTTGGCTTACCTCCTGCCAGTAGGTTGTGAGTGCTGGTTGGGGGATGCACATGGCTGCACGATTTCGCACTGCTCTAACACGCTGTGGAATTGGTGGGGTGAATATGGGTGAATGTATTCCCGCTGCATGATGGGTGGAATACGCACGTGTTTTATGAGAAAGCTGTGTGTTCTGATCCTGATGGGAATCGGCATGGCATGTTCACGGACTTCCAATGCTTCAGCCCAAGCGGCTGGTCTTCAGTTTCGGTCTCGGCACGTTTGCCTCCAAAAGCCACACAAAGGAATCCGAAAATAAGAAGTCTCTCGGGAAATCTAGACGGGGCTACAAACCCACACCGTGTTAGGGCATGAGACTGTAGAACAGCATCGGCGGTAAGGCATTCGCAACAGCTTGCACGAGATCTGGGTGGGGAGTCCAGGGTGGAAGCCAGTGAAAGAAACTCGAGTAACATCATCCAACTCAACATTAGCTTGTCACTGTCGAGGGCCTGGAGGAACTTCAGCTCGCTCTTCGAGATGTAGAAACACCTCAGGAGATGCAGCAGTGTAGCAACATATGGCAACTCTGGCAATGCCTGCCGCGCTCTTGTGCCACGCCACATTGCTTCCCCTCTCCTGCAAAACTCCTAGTATTTTGATCTTACTTGCCCAGCTCTGCATAATACACACTCGAATACTGGCTTGGACCATCCAGGAGTGAAGGATGCTATCCGACCCCGTCAGTTCAATAAAGGCTATATAGGTTGTTACCCACTGACCGGGTAGGATACACTGTGCTAAGTCATCTGAAATTACCAAATTGATGCAAGCACGTTTCAGTGCAGCAGGCCCGAATGCAAATGCTTCCAATGGCAGTATTGCCAGTCTTTTTCTTCCTGCGGCTCCACGTCTGAGCCACCCATTTCCTCCACAGCCTCTACCTCCCCTCCAAGGAAGGAGGACCAAAGCTGGCCACCAACCCCAAGTCCGACACGCGGACACCAGGGCTGCTGATCATCCTGCGGGAAAAGAATTATAAAGTCAGAAATTCATGTGGTAGGCGAGTCCGGCCACCAGCCAAACAGTTGCTAAAGCAAGACCTAGCTGATGCTAGCTTTCGTGGAAAAAAGGGGGAAAGCTGAACACCACAAGGGGAAAAAGAAAAATATATATATATAGTATATAGGCGCTCTTGCCCTTGCCTGCGCCACCAGATCTGCTAGGCTTCTCTTGTCCTCTGGCAGCAATTCACTAGCGCCCACCTTCCGGAGCAGGAGGCGCCCTGACCAATCGAGACCTCCCTCAAAGGGAGACTGCAACTCTTCCACGAACATCCATGCCTGGCTCGCGCACTCAGATCAAAAGCATCACATTTCTTCACATTGAATGAATGAAATGTAGCAAGCTGAAAAAGGCTGAAGGAGGGTGAGAATGAAAGTGTGCACGCGTCGCAAGCCGAAACATCACGTGAACTGCAAACTCCGTCGCCTCACCGAGATCACAACAAACCCCCCGCGAACATCAGACTCCATCACTCTAGATGCATGCCAGAAGAGCAAATACCAAGTACCAAAACAGGCAAAACAGGCAGATTCCTACCAAGAACCAAAGGCACTGCATGCACAGCCCCCTCGACCTGTACTGTGCATGTCCTTACAGTGACCCAGCCAGCAACGCTGCACTGGATCGTCCCCACATACAGTTTGCTGTGTTGCTGTGCTCATGGGGCCGGTTTGCAGGCAACAAGCATTCAGAGACTGCTGCTCACTGGCTACCATCAAGTGTAACTTCCTTGAAACAGTTACGGTCAAGAAGAACAAAGCAACAGCATCTCCTGCCCATCAACCATCAACAAACCCATCAAAAAATACCGTAAATCTGATCAGATCACGGCGAGCGGCCAGGTCTGGGTCCACACGCACCATGTTCTCCAGCAACTGACGTGCGCGCACCCGCAGCTTCGGCGCCACCGAGGGGCCCAGAAACTTAATCCTTCCGATTCGGAACCGGCTGACAAGGTGTCTGGCGAGAGGTTACAGTGTTACGGGAAGTAATTCCACAACATCCCTGATACCGCACGGCACCTGGCCCAGGAAATGTGTTCGAACAGCGATCTTGAAGGGTTCCTTTACTTGGATATCACTCTCACGCGGTCTTTTCGCAGCTTCTCGGGGGCAATTGTGCCAAGGATGTAATCTACAGCTGCCCCTCTTCGGTACTTTCTCTGTTGGACATGCCAAGGCTCCCAATTGCCAGAAGCTCCTTTGAAATGGTCTGCACCAGTAAGGAGTCCCCTGAGAGAAAGGCCAACACATCCAGCACAGCCAACCTTTGCTGCTTTGCGAGCATTGCCACTGAATTGAATCTATGAGGACGATACAGGAAAGTCATGGGATGTACCTTTCTACAGAACCCGAAAATGCAATGAAGACATATGATGACATATGAAGATCATGGAGGTTCGAGAGGGCTCATGTAGCAATGCATAAGCATAATATTAGCTTGGAGGAAGCCCACTTTACTTTTGCCTTACATTGGAAGCTCAATCGTGGGAAACACTCTGTGCCGTTTCCCCAGCAGAAAAGAAGAAATTTAAGCATGGGTGATCAAGTCCTGATCAGGGAGGCTGAGCCACTGCATCTTCAGCTCTGGAGATGTATTGCCACTCTCCACTGGCGGCGTCGTGCAAAGCCGGAGCCACAGACTGCTCCAACAGTCGCTGACGAAGCGACGCTGGACAAAGTCGCCTGAGAGCCTGGCCACATGCTTTAGGAGGATGCAAGCATCGGCGCTCAAGGAACCTGCAGGGCCAAAAGGTGTAAAAAGTCAAGACCAATGTGCTTGCGGCGCGCTCAATCCCAATCGGGTGACTCGCGAAAACAACAGCTGACAGCTTACAGAATGCTTCAGACCTTCATGTGAAAAGGACAAGGCCAGCTGCTGCCAAATGTCGTGCACATGCGGCAGCAGGTCCTTGACCTGGGCAGAACTTAACACAGGCTACCCATCAAATTTCCGGTTGTTCCCTGCTATTTAGCTGCTGTTCCCACCAAATGCTTCAAGGCATTTTTTGAGCCACAGCCACCCGAGTGGAGAGCACCGTGAGCCCATGGACAATGGCCACGTGAGCCAAGTGCCGCGACACAGAGTTGGAGGACTGCAAGTAATGCCGGGCCCAAAGGACCTCAGTGGTTGCTAGGGCGCTCTTGCACGAACTGCTTGCCGTGGTGGGTTCGTAAATAGGCAAGGAGCCGTGCACACAGCTCAATTCAATGCGGGTCCATTCCTCAAACATCCCACTACAGGTACAAAATTGTACAAAGCTGGGGCAGACAAGCAGACTACACCGCGGCCATCGCTTCTGAGGAGCAATGCTCGAAGCTATCCGCCTCTGGGCTCCATAGCCGTCAGGTTGGTCTTCCACTCTCACGTCGCCAGCCTGACCAACCTCCTCATCTTCCTCAGCTGCGTCCTGTCCAAAGCTGCTTCGACAGGCCACATGGTAGAGAACACCCCTGACATCACTCAGCCTGAGACTGAATGGAGTCGAAAATGGGTAAAGCCTGGTGCCATCAAAGAACCAACACCCTACAAGCTGGGACAACTGTAGCCCGTGTTGTCGCCGGCACTCCTCGTCCAACAGGTGCCCCAGGTCTCCCAACCGGAACCCATCGCGATGTGTCGGCGGCATCCACGTTTGCCAGCCGCCAGTTAGGAAGGCGGCCACTGCCGAGGCATTTGAGGCACGATCCTGCCCCCGCTTTGCGCTCACAGCATTCCAAGAAATGCGGGGAGGAGAGGAGGGTGTGGCTAGAATCAAGAGTTGAAAAGTAATTCAACTCTTGATTTGAGCCTTTCCAAGTTGGAAATGGTGTAAAAAAAGAACTTGACCACATCCACTTTTGGATTGCTGAATCCTGGATTCTTCCCCTGAGAGTTCAAATCGTCAGGGCCCACCTTCCCGCCCTTCCGCATGGTTCCCGCCCTCTGTCCTGCAGCCTTTTGTGTGGAGTCCCACCGTCCACCTGTGGCCCCTTGGCCCGCGCCAAACGTTCCTCACATAAAACCCAAGCCAAGCGTTGCGCGGTCGTGGCCAAAACCCGTAGGACCCAGTCACCTTTGGAACGGCCTGCCGCGGAGAGCAAACAAAGAGTCGGAAACTCTTTACCTCATTGACCAAGACCAAGTTGACTAGCAGAAAAAGGATGGAAAAGGGTCATGCATGCGAGTCATACTGTCATGGCCAGCCAACCTGTCATGAGCATGTGCACCACATCCGTGAGGAATGGCGTCATCTCCAGGCCTTCTCTGGGCAGTGTGAGTTAGCGCCCAGGCTGGTCAGGTGGATGTGGGAACCAGAACGATAACCGGCTGCGGGCCCATTGAAAAAGAACGGAATCTCGAAAATGTCACAACAATCTCATGCTTTGAGGGTTGGTCTTATGTGCTCTTGACTGCGAAGCCTCCTGCTCCTGGTTCCTACTCATCCCCGGCAATCTGTGGCATTGCCGCATTCTAGCCATCACAAAGCTTTGCACGAAGCTAGGCTCTAATTGGGCAACTATGCGTGCATTATATGTTGAACCTCTACTTGAACCCAACTCTGGTCCTCACCTCTCAACTTGTGTCTATGCCTGGCCACTAAGCCAGCGTTGCCGCTGCCAAGCAGCCAACGTTTTGCACCACCGCCGCCAGCAGCATCGACAGCCGGGCACCGCCATCACCGGCCTCGCCGAAGCGGAGTTGGAAGCAAACATCGCCCACGAGGTAATCGGCGTACCTCACAAACGATGACAATGAGCATTGAGATGGCTGGGCTCAAAACGTGCCACCCTACGAGAGGAGCCGAGATGAGACTTGCTGAATTTCCGGCATTCTAGACAACACCACCAAAAGCCCATTCACATCCCCCCATTGCTTTGCCGAGATGCTCTTCCAGGAGACTGGTGACCTGAGGCCAAGCACTGAGAGTTCATGAAGCTCAAGGTGCAGTGGAATGTGGGTCTTTGCCTATCGCGCTTTGCAACAGATTCTGGCCCTGGGACAACATTGAAGGGTACCTTTGTTCAGTGCCTAACAACACTTCATGCCCAACATTCTGAAGGCACCACCTGTCTCCAGTTTTTCCGTGAGCTTCATCTATATGAATCGATTGCCAAATCGGCGTGACTGGTGGAATGGCTGCATCTCGCCACATCATTCCAATCAGCACATGACAACATGTTGCTGACAGGCGCCGCCTCATCTGGAAGCCAAGTCTTCTGGCTCAATAACTGCCGGAGCTCTACAACATCCAAAGCTGGACGTCCGAACTCCCCGATCCACAAGACCTGGTCGAATTGGGATAAGGCTCCCGTGCCAATTCCCAAAGCGGAACTGGTCGAGCAATGAAGGCATCCTCCCTTTCACCGTTTTACATCACATCATCGGCGAGAAGCAAAAAAGGACACATTAAATTGACAGTTTCTGTCTTTCCACAACTTCCAGACCCCAATTTGATTCAATTTGATGCTTCGTGAATCGGACGCAGAGCATGCTATGTCCCCATCTGCACTCGCTGGGTGTTGGTGCAATAGAGGTCATCCCCCAGATTTCTGGTCTTCGCAGTCTTCTTCTGCAAAGAGATCCTCTAAAAGAGCAAAGAGATGATAAGTCGCAAAAGTGCTTGTATAAGGCGACCGGGGCAATCGAGATCTTCCAACATCTTCCAACAGTAGCCTCACACTTTACATCCTCTTCTCATCGCCCAGAGTTCAGGCTGTTCTTCTTCTTCTTCTTAATGATATGATGCTGGAGGTTGTGGTGTGTTTTCGACACAAACTTCATGACTTGAGAAAAGTCGTCGCTACCAGTGGGATCAGGAAGAACGCATGAAAAACCAAAGCGGTTCCCCGCATGGACGCCACTATAAGTAACATTGAAGCAAGGCATTCAGGCAATGGCACGTAGATTGGAGGTTTGCCGGAAAGCTCATTGATGTGCCTGTGCAAACTGTCTTTCCGTGCAGCTCCAGCTCTACGGCGCTATGGAAACACCCAAAGGTCCCAAGTTGGTCTTGTTTTCCGCGCCCTAATGAGGCAGGATGGGTTGATCGACTGCATCTTGCCGACAGGGCGATAGGGACGATTTTCAAACACTGTTTCCCGGGTACTGTGCCCGGTCGGAGCTGCCATCTCGAAGCTCACATGTATAGGCTCCCTTCTGCGCGGTCACCTCAAACTCTGTGGTGGGATGGCCACGGCTGTCGAAGATCTGGCGAGCATGTAGCTTCTCAATCGGCATGGGCAGTGGGACCTTGCTTGAGCCAATGGCTGCCTCCTTTGCTCTCAAATCAAAATCCGGCGTATCATGGTCTCGAACAGTGGTGCCAACCCTACAGTCAAAGGCAAGTGGCGGCCGGACCAGTTGTCTTGATGCGACCTTCTGCCACTAGTAGCTGATGAAGCAAAGTCAGCGTGCCTCAAATGCTGCTGTGACGCAGTACGTGCATCTTTTCACCCAAGAAGGGTCCACTTTTTAGCTGAGAGGCTGTAGTTTATCTGATTGTAAACCTGTCGAATCTATATGAATATTATAAGGCTAAGGCATTCGAGGGCGAACTGCATCCAAGATGATGGCAAGCCAAAGAATTTATATATATATATTGTGTAAAGTTGTTTGATGTTGTTTGTGTGTCTGTGCGCCTTCGTTGCCCCGAACTGCTCGGTTTCGGCAGTTCGGTCGGTTTCGGCAGTTCGGCCTTTCATGTAGCCAATGCAGAAGCACACCTCGACTTCAACTTCAGGCTCTAACCCACTGCCGAGCGGCCCTGGCTGGCCAAAGAGATAGCGAAGGATCCTTGGACGGCCAGGCTACCGGCCTAATCAATATCTCATGGATCCAAAGATATGCGGATACATTGACATCATACCCGAGAAACAAAGAGAACATGCCTCAGAATATGGCATGATATGACCACACCCTGTCACAGAGATCTCAAACAGGTTAAGTTCCAGCTTGGCAGCCTAGGCAGCCGTACCACTTGACAAGCTGCCCTGAACCAAAGCCTTTTTCCCCCCAAAGCCATGCGTCTTGATCCCAAGTCTTCCATCAAGGGCTTTAGGAGGTGGCGCACCTCCGCAGTACCCAGGCCGGACATCATGCACAACGGTGGTCTTTACGTCCAGTGCTCATGGCGGCATGACTTACCCCCAAAAAGCTTGAAATTGCTGACGGCTCACGGGCTTCCAAGAGTGAAATATGAAATAAGATGGTACATAATTGAATGTATAACTCAGCCGTGCCGTGGGTTGTTCACCATCCGGCTGGCATTTTAACATCTTTTCAGAGTCTCCAACCTGGCGATGCACCCCATGGGATTTCAAGACCTGCAAGGCGGAGACCATCAACTGATGTGAGGCAAGGACCTGGAGCCTCAGAGAGCACCAGGGGCCGCTTGCGGAGCAAGTCAACAGGGACTGGTCCGCCGGTCATCCAGCGGATGGAGAATACCATGATGCCAATACGGTGACAAATACAAATGTTGTCTCACACATCCACTATCTGTCCCATATACTGGCATCTTGGTGCATCCAATCCCTGTCAGTTTGGGATTCTCGAGATGAGATTTGATGAGAGATCGCCAGCCGCACCATTTGTTTAAATGGACATGACATAACTACCTGCTTGAACATGCAAATTATGAAACCCACCTGGCCGGCCTACTTTTGCCCGAAACCCACTCTGCTGCCACGCAACACCCACTCATCTACCGGCTCATTGGATGCCTCCGGTTCCCGGGCCAATTGAGCAATGCTCAAGCATTGTTGCAGTAACCACAGGGGTATCGCCTTGGCTGGATCCAGGTTCTCGTAGGAGGCACTGGGTTGTTCGAGAGCATAAGTAACGTCGGTGGTGTGGGTGGGGGGTGCGTGCTGATGATCTTATGAAGGATGCCCCAAGTACAACATGCCTGTGCAAACCGACACACACACAGACAAACACGCGCACACAACCTACTTGAGTCTTCCCAAGTCCTCCCGTCTGACTTCAATGCTTCGATGGGCTGATGGCTCGGCTGCATTCAGGAAGGTGGCCAGGACAAAAAGCGCCGCCCGCTGCCGGTGTCGCCACGTGGCGTTCGGTGCCTCACAGTGCCTCGACCTGCCGTCGAGGGCGCCGCATTCTTCCTCAGCGTTCCCGTCTGGCTCCACGGGGCCAAATGACAAATGAAAAGCATATGTACATCTACTCTTCATGAAAGAGTGTGCATTTTAGCACAGGAACCATTTTCCTTCGCCTCATGTGCCAATTGCATAGCATATGCAATGCCAGTGGTTTGTGGCTCCATCCGTAAGCGTGCCGCAGGGTAGCAGAAGGTAAGGCACGCAAAACACAAGGACAGAAAAGGTTGTAAACCCTACAACAATCAGATATCCCCACACGTGTGCAAAGGCTGCAGCAAAAGTACGAACAAGTTCAAACCAACGTACTTAAGCACAAACATGCCCTGATCCCCCTATGATGGACAGTGGTCCGCTCCATGGGACAAATGCATCTACAGCGTCACGAAAAACAAATCTTCTCAAAAATATCCGACACATAAACCATTTATTGTTATTTTAATTCTAATAGCTTTTTGTTACTACTAGTAAGGCACTTGTTACTACTAGCGTGGCACTTGTTACTAGTAGTAACAAGAAGCTTATAACGCCTTTTCTTCTAGAAGTCCACCAGCAGTTAGGATCCCGCATTATGCCAACTCACACCAGCACAGCAAGAAAACAAATAGCAAAAGCGTGAGAAGCTCACCTCCTTCGATCGCCTCCATCCTCCCAATTCAATCAAGCTTCAAGAATGATGGTGAACAACGTCTCTGCACGCATCACTCGTGTGAGCCGCCCCAGCGTGCTCCGCACCTGGCGCGCCAGTCGCTCCTGGCCACCGGCCACACGCAAGGCTCGCAAAAGCCACTGGTTCACCTGGTCACTCGGTCTGGCGGTGAGGATTTGTGAGCGGCTCAAGATATTTAGAAAATGCCTAGTCTACGGTATTATGAGTGTGTTATTCATCTTTTCTTATTTCAAGATATAGTGCAAGTTCCATGTTCCATAGTGGTCTACAGTTGGGGCACTTTAATTTGTGTATATATTGGATCTATCCTAATACCTGTAACAGTGGATGATGATGGTTAGTAAAGGCCTTGTTCAAAAATAGTAGTAATTGTTTACTGACTGTAACTCAATATGTATATATATGCATACATACGCCCCGTCAAGGGCATGTGACCTTGGCAAAACGTCTTCACCCATCAGCAATTAACCTCTGGCCAAGCTCACCATGGCATTTGACAGGGGAGCGCTTGCTCTCGTGGCATGAATCTGGTGACGCTGTCCAGGATAGCATCCTATAACACTCATATAGCGTTAAACGATTCTATATTGTGATTGACCCTTTCACCTCCTAGCCGCCTCAATCCCACATTGATGTATATAATTTTGTCAATATAAATGCCCCACTCTCCGGCCTGCACACAGTTCGGTGGGAGCTCCGCATTGTCGCCCGCGTCACCAAGACGCTCCTCCACCTACACAAAGCTCCCTTGCCAAGGGTACTTATCAGCATGGGCAGTTGCCATCTGGGCAAAGGGAATGTCTTTTTGAATCACATGGCTCCACAGTGGCTCCACACCAGGTGACCTGCGAATCCTGTATCCTGGGCTGTTTAGCTCCAAGAATGATATGTCTCCAAATGTCTCATGTTGCCTTTTCTGCTCTCAGCCAGGGAGGTTGGATTGGCAAAGCAATCGAACTATGGAACTTTGTCCCCTCAAACAGGCATTTCAAAAGCTCCAAGAAACCAACCCACCAACTAAGCCGTGGAGAATGCCCCCCAATCCCACAAGAACGGGGCCCACCTTTTCCTCCGGGAGGGTCATCTCTTCCAGCTCATAGGGGAAGAGCGTGACGAACCTCTCCGCCTGACTCACCGCCGTCCCTGGCATGGATGCAAGGCCCCGTTGGTCTCGAAGAAGTTGACCTGAAATGTGCCAGGCATCGAAGGAAGGTCGATGCCATTTAAAGCGTCATACTTCAGATTAGTAGCCCAAAGTGAAGCGACGGCATCTCCACAAAAAAACTGTAGGGCGTGTCTCAAATACGGGACTTCAAAGCCCCACCTCTCAACTTGATGTCAAAGCTCACGAAGTCTTCAACGAGTATCAAAC